AGGGGTTTAGGTGCCCATTCAAGGGGCTCAGACTGCCTCAGAAAACCCACCCAAGGAGGCCAGGCTCTGCCAGGCTCTCAGCAGCCCAAAGCAAACCTAGTTGGACTCTAAAATGATGCCCTTAGGGGATGTGCTGGCCTCAGAGGCTGAGTGATCATCCTAATGGGGTGGATCAGACTAGCCAGCATTGAGGGCACATGAACTAGAGCCCCCTGGGAGGGAGCGGCTAGCTCTGGTGCATAAAGGGAAAGGCAGGAGCTGGCAGATGAAACAAACCCCCAGGGGAGAGCAGGGTGAGGTCCAAAGTCTGCAAGCTGTACCAGCCCCATAGAGATCAGGATTCCCAGCAGCACAGGGATTCAGGGGGGAAGGGGTCTGAGCTCTTCAGCAGCTACAGGTCGCTGATTGACCCCTCCCCAGTGACATCCCAATGACAAGTGGCAGCAGACCTCCAGTTCTGGCCCTACATACTCTCCCTGCTGCTTCTCGGTTGTGAGGGGCAGTTGGAAGCATCACTGCAGCTCTTACCAAGAAGTCAGCACTGCCTTCTAGGCCTTGGATGTGTCCCGGTGGGCCCTGGAATAAGACAAAACCATCAGGCACCCTAGTGCAGGAAGAACACTACAAGGCATTTTCCTCTCAAAGCACGTTGCAAAGGGCGGTGATTATTACACCCTCCTTTAGAGATGGGAAAACTGAGGCACAGAGTGGGGGGAAGTGACCGAACCGAGGTCACACAGTGAGTCAGTGGCAGGGCCAGGAAAGAGACCCTGGGTCTACTCCTTTCTCTGCACTAGCCAACAGACCTCACTCTCTTATCTGAGATACTGGGGGTCCAGACTCCCAGTTCTTCTCCAGAGAGCCAGGAGATATCACCATCTGCAAGCAGTGCCCTGGGAAACCAAGCAGCTCAAAGCAACACTGCGGTCCATGCATAAACCTTGATGGTCAGACTACTAAAGCATAGACCTCTATGAGTTGCTTCCAGTGTAGGGGTGAGGGGGTATCTGAGCAGTGCAAACCATTGGTTCACCTACTCGCACCCTGGATAAAAGAACTGGGGTGCTTGCTCTCAGCGCCCACCTCCTGATCTTTCCGCGGGGCTGTGGACTCCTTCCTTCCTGACCTCTGCAGAGACCAGCTTTACACCCTGAAGCATGAGCTTGGCTCAGCTCAGGCCACCCCCATCCCAGGTGGCTGCTGATAAGGTCAGCTGTCCACTGTGGGTCTGCTCTGGGGAGGCATTGAGCTCCCTCCATTGAAAGCCCGATCCTGATCCCCTTGATCACCTTGCTGGGTCTGCACCTAAACCCACTGCTCCAAGTCTCACCCTCTAGCCCAAGGGCTGGGATCAAGGACTTTATTTTAATTCACCCCCATATGCAAGGCCCCCAGCTACGAAATGCCAGGGGAGATGGGGGTTAATACTCACAGGTCTTCCGGGGGGTCCTGGGGGGCCTCGTGGTCCATCAGGTCCAGGATCCCCCTGAAAAAGAGCAACCCCAATGAAAGCAGTAGGTGTAGGAAAGGCATGTAGCTACCCAAAGCACTGAGGCAGGGGGAGAAATGAAATACCCCTATACAGACCTCAGCATCCATGCTAGCTCAGGCACCTTGGCAGGTGAGCCCACAGGAATGACCCTGTGAGGTCCAGCACCAAGCGCTGGGCTGAAGAAGGACCTGCATGGGTAGCAGGCTGAGACCAGGCGTGCAACCGGGAGGGAGGGGAGGGGAGACTTCACCAGACCTTGGAGTCCAAGCCAAAGCCCATTGGATGCAACAGGAGTCTTTGCATTGGCTTCAGTGAGCTTTGTATCAGGCCTAAACCAGCATATCAAGCCTAAACCAACAAGATGCGCATGCCGTGTAAGTCCCCCTCCCACCCCTGTATGGCTGGTCCGTAGCGGTGTAGGTAGCCATTCACATTGCGGGCATGCTTTGGCCAGTCCCTTGGCCACATCCATAGTACCCCTGGTGCCACCTTCTGCCCCAGCTCTGCCCCAACATGGGTAGATGGACACCAGCATTTGCAAAGGGCTTAAAAATGAAGGGATGGAAGGACAAATCCTATGGGATGGCTGGAGAACCAGTAGCCACTGGAGCAGGGGCAGGCAATTATTTTGGGCAGAGGGCTGCTTATTGAGTTTTGGCAAGCCATCGAAGGCCACATGACAAGCATCCCAGGGCAGATAAATATTAATTTTCTAAATTTTTTAGGGGCCCCGTGGGCCAGATAGAATGGCCTGGCAGGCACAACTGACCCGTGGGCTGCATGTTGCCCACCCTTGCACTGGAGGCTTACATTCACTGTTCCACCTTGCCAAATGCAATGACTTGCAAAACCAGGGGAGAGAAAGAGAAACCCTCCAGGTCGGGGCTGCCTGTCCCTCATTACAAGGGGAAGACCTGAGAGGCACCTGCACTACAGGTTCCAGTTCAGCAGAAGCACCTCGCTGAAACAAGCTCGCAGGAGCCCGCTCACCCGCCATGCAGTCCTGCAGTGACCCGCAGAGGATGCCATCTCCCGCTCTCTGCTATACAGAGGCAGAACTGGAGTCACTCCATTGATGCCAGCGCATGCATGCTGCAGTGGAAATGAGACTGCCAAAGGAGCTGAGCCCCTTCACCATGGAGTGCAGGAGGAGGGTGGCTCATTGAAAATCAGGCTCATTCCTACATTGAGTCGCAGCAAGCAGGCCCATTTGCACCCAGACAGATCCTTTGTCCAGCTGGATTCCTCACCTTAGGTCCCAAGGCACCGATTTCCCCAGGAAGTCCAACCTGACCTGGAGGCCCCTTAGCAAAGGAAAGAAACATTCGTTGAACACGGTGATAGATTCTGAGAGCTTGAGCAAGCCAAAGAGCGCTACTGGGTTCATCCCAGCTGCATCTGCTCTAAGTGTTTTGTGTGTCGGCTCTATCCCATGGAAAGTGGACCTTATATCCCGTGGAAAGGGGATGTTAAACCTCAGTAAACTCCATCTGTTTTATTCAGGGGCAAGTCACTGCGATTTTGCTTCACTCACTGCGGGACAAGAAAGGATAGATGAAACAGGTATAACAATGCAGCTGATGCAAGCTCACAAGCAGCAAGTTTGTTCCTCTCATTTTAATTGTTCATCTGCCCAAGCCTTGATCTAGAGGGTTGGCAAATGCTCTAAAACCAACTCCTGACCATGTTTAATTCAGCTGCCCGCTCCAAGACTTTAGCTTTCTCATGGAGTAATAAACTGCTGGGGGCAGGAATCAATCCCTTTTTTTTCTAGAAATGTGCTAGAGGGCAAATGCACTGGCCTTTTTTTCCCAGTGCTGAAAGTCTTAGGCCCATACAAGAGAACTCGGTGCATGTAGCAGGCAAACATCACCTTTCTGTGTTGAAGGGCAGCAAGCAGGTAGATTGAACTGTGACAGAAGTGAAGGTAAGTAAAAACTACCGAATGAGACACGTGAAGTTATTGAGCAGGACCGTACAACTGTTATGAGGGCTGTAAGGCTTCCCTGCATTAATATGCTGATCTAACCTGTGTTGGGATGAGTGGGATGCTTGCTGTACTGCTCTGATGTATGAATTCAAGGGGAACTCTACAGGAAAGCAACACCGTCCCTGTTGGTAGGGAGAGACTTTCCACCCAGCAAGAAACACATGGGTCGGGGTCCACCTGTGGATGACCCTCTGCCCACAATGGGGTGAGGATGCCCTTGGAGTGACCTGGATGCATCTGAGATCCACTTAGCTCAGGGAGATAGCACCCAGGTGGAGCACAGCTATGGTGTTTTTGCATGTACCATCAGGCCTGGGTAGGAGGGGTTCAACTGGTCTGTTTGTTGAGACACTGAGCAGATACCTCATGGTGCTGCCTTGAGTAATGCTGGAGAACAGCAGCTCCAAACCAGCTGCAGGAGGGTTAATTCCTCTGCCTGGTCCCTGATCCGCTCCATTCAGCCCTTCCCAGCTCCAGGGTGGGATGCCAGGGGTTACAACAACCTTCCCAGGGCACCTGGAGGATCTGGCCACAGACCTGGCTTGGATGCTAACAGGGCTGGGGCGGTTTCATCCCCATTCACAAGGGGCTGAATGGGTTTGATTTCTTCACATCCTATCCTGACCCTGCCGCTTCCCAGCCAACCAGCCCCCAGCAGCACAGCACTTACAGGCGGTCCTGGCAGCGACGGGCCCTGCAACAAAAAGAGGATTACAATGGATTACTAAAGTTCTCCAACTCCGAATCAGCTTGCAGTGACTCTACTGCCCTTATGGGTGGTCAGGATACAGCCCTTGCTCTACATGTTTGCATTCTCCTTCCAAGGGTGACTCCAGAGCACTTCCGGGGGCTTCAAGGCCACTTGCCACTGCAGAAGCAGCCCCATGGAAGGGTAAGTGTTATGCAAAGAGCCTAGGCAGTAACATCTCCAGCTTGAACAAGCTTATCACCAATGAGAATTGAGGCTTAGAGAGGTTATGGGGCATGCCCAAGGTCACACAGGAAGTCTGTGGCAGGGCAGGTCTCCTGAGCCAAGCCCTAGCCACTGGGCCTGCCTTCCTGCCTAAATGAATGTAGCCCAGACCATGTTCTCCTTTCAGGGCCAGAGCAGGGATAATCTATAGCTATTCTTTTGGCTTGCCTGGTCCTTGATCCACCCCACCCCAGCACCCTCTGATCCCCCTACCTGAGCCACAGGAGGAGAGTCTGCACTGATAGCAGCTTGGAAACCCAGTGGGATCTCTCCTAGGGAGGCATTTGTATGATGAGGGACAGGGTTTCACAGACAAATCTAGAGAGGATCTGACAGCTTGGGCAGCCTCTGACACACCCACAGAGCAACAGAGAACTAGTGACCCCAAGGCACGAAGCCACAGAGGAGGGCTTCAAACCAGGTGCTCCCATATATAATCCAGCAATCTCAGTGGCACTAGCCCTGGCCAAACCACTCAACAAAGGGGCCATGAAGGCTGACATCCTTTCCCGTTCTTAGCTCCAGGGGAAGCTAATCAGATAGGGAGCATCAGAAAGTCTCTGCTGTCCTTGCTGTGTTAGCCGTGGCCCTTCCTAGGGGGAGCTGGAGCAGGGTTGCACTTGGGGAACCTGTGGCCCGGAGGGGTTTGTGCACCTGCCCATAGAGTGAGTCCGTGGCAGAAATGCGGTTACAATCCTGGCTCCCAGGCCATTAGGCATGGCTATCAACCCATTTCCCCAGCAAGCATTTCTGATGGAAGCAGATACTTACAGGGAGTCCCGGAGGCCCTAGAAGTCCAGGCTGGCCCTGTCAGTGCAGGAGGAGAGAGTCAGAGCTAGGAAACCAGAAGCAAGGGGAGGAGGGGGCTGGATTTTCTGACTGGGGAAGAAAACATTCTGCTTTTGGCTGGGGGAAAAAAGTTAACAAAATCTTTCTGAGCAAGCTCAATCCATGGGCTAGACCAGTGGTTCTTGACCTTGTTAGACTCAAGGCACTCATTAGAAAATCCAGCTCTTCACTCATTTTTTGACTACAGAAAAGCAACCAGGCCGCTCTCCTGTTGCAAAAAGCTCGGGAAGCCCACAACAGGTCAGAAAGTTTTTGGATGCCTGTTTGAAATCTCTGGGTTTCTCTTATAAGTCACATTTGCACACCTAACTGTGCTAATGTTGTGTGGCACTACGTGGCGCCTTTGAAAGCATCTCGGGGTGCCTCAGAGTGCCAGAGCGCCCTGGTCTAGACCCTCCACTGGTGTCAGTCAGTACAGCTCTGGGGGCTTCAGTCCAGCTGTGCTGGTTTGAAGCTGCTCAGGGCAGTTTTTTTATTCCCGTGTTTGGACAGCACCTAACACAATTGCAGTCCCCATCTATAGCTGGCATTGGGGTCCCAACCCCTGTTGCAATAGTGATTTATACTAGCTGAGGATCTGTCTCATTGCAGACTTGATCCCACTCCCACTGATGTCTACAGACTTGATCCAACTCCCACTGATGTCAGCTTTGTCCACCCTGCCAATCCTAGCAAGCCCTTGTATTTTAATACACCCCCAGGCCCTTTGTTCCCCACACAGCTGTCCAAGGACAAGCTAATCAAGGCAGCTCTGACTGAGTGCATGCACAGTGCTTGGCACAAAGGGTCCCTGGTCTCGAGCAGGCTATTGAGACGCTAAGATGAAAGTTGCTGCTCTTGGCCCTTTCATTCTGGTCTTGGCCTGTTGCAGAGGTAGGATCCATGAAGCCAGGTCCTTAGCTGGCAGCATCTCACCAGGGATTACACCAGACCTGTGCTGATTCACAGCGGCTGAGGGGCTCAGCCTGGTTCCTTTGCATGTCTGACTAGATCCGAATCCCTTGAGACGTGGCAGCACCACCCTGTACCTCCCCCATCCATGCCCTTTGCTTCCAGGAGGAGAGGCCATGCTGCTAGACGAAACAGGCACAAATGACCCATGCTTACTTTAGGTCCTGGACGTCCGATGGGCCCTGGTTCCCCTTTTGCTCCTGTCAGGCCCTGCAAAGGGAGAGATTGTGGGGGGTTAGCCTCCATCCTGGACCATTTTTCCTTCTCATTTACAGCACAGTTGAGTTCTTCCAGCAGCTGATGTTTCTGCAGGGGCTCCTTTAACCACCTGGTGTTCAGGATTATTAACAAGCTGCTAACATCTCCTCAAGCTGTTGGGCAGGTGACACACAGAAAATACTCGTGTGTAACTTGCATTTGGAGTGAAGTCCCGGTGTCACGAGGCACTTGGGAAGACATCGCTCCAACCTCTCAGCAATGTCCTCTCAGATGTTTTGTCACCTGCTAATGTCACAAGGCTCTGTCTCTCAATGCAGGGGCCTTTCTCCTTGGAGGAGTGCATTCAGAGCAGATAGGGATGTGACTTGGGGTATCATCAGTGCTGGATATCTGTCCACCCCCACACTGGAGCATGCTCGGCTGTGTCTGAATAGCACCGGGCAGCAAGCAAGAACCGCGGAGCTCAATGCCAACAGCAGAGTTGGTGGGGAATGGGAAACAGCCTCTGGGGGGATGCTGAGGGTGAGAGTGGAAGTGTCCTGGGAGGAGCAGCAGTAGCCTGGCAGAGGTCAGGATGGAGAGGCATTGGCAGAACTGGGGGTGGCTTAGTCTGGATGGCACAGCGGGGCTGCAGGCTAGGACTGATGCATTGGTTGGGGGTGTTTGCTGGGAGGAGGGGTGTGCACACGAGCAGCCCAGCACTAGCACAGCAGGTGCTGGAGATCTGGGGAGTAGTGCATTTGCTGGGCTCCCCCAGGCTTGAGCTATGCTGACAACAGCTTTCCACACTCCACCCTGCTCTCAGGCTAATGCATGAGGGCGTTTGTACATGCAACAGTTTTTTCCCTTTCCTGTGCTGCAATTGCATGCCTGTTTGCACGAATGGGATTTCCGGATGCTCTCTGATCCACAGCCCTGCCTTCCCTCCTGCTCGGACAGCAAATGAGCTGCAACAGCTGATGAGGTCTTAGTGGTCATTTGCAAATAAAGGGCTTGGTCTTGCAGACCTTGGCACCGTGGGCATTCCCCGAGTGGGCACTGGGTGGATTCTCATCTCATGTACACAGAGCGGCTCTGGATTGATACCAGCAGGCCAGAGCTCACAGGAACTTGCTCAGATGACCAAGGGCAGCAGGGCCTGACACAGCATGCACATACCCCGTTACTAGCCACCCTGTCATCTCTGTATTAAGGAGGTGGCTCCTACTTGCATGCGGATACAGAGAGCCCTGTAATTGTGTGTGTGTGCGTGTGTGTGTTTGCAACCCCCATCCCTGAGAGCAAACAATCCAATGTCATTCACATTTCTAGGGCAGGGGACAGATTCTTACAAACCAGGGGCCCAGTTTTGCAATGGTCATATGAGTAAATCCTTACCTAGATGAATGAGGACAGATTGCGGGGTTTAGGGTCAAGTCCTCAAAGTGAATAAATCAGCCCAGGCTCAGAACTCCCCTCTCCTCCATGGAGCACAGACTTGAAATGATGTAAAGGGCTAGAAAAGTGATCAGCTCGTACGTTTGCTGTTACTGAGGGAATCATTTTCTCTGTGCTCAGATGCTGCAGGGAGGTGGGCTGAGATACAGCAGAGTCTAATCACAGTCATGCCTAGATCCATCTGGAAGGACTCCATGAACCTCAGCAGAGCGCAGGGGAAAGCTGGGCCTGTCTCACTAAAAAGAGGCTCATGTAGCCACAAATGGATGCTGAACTATGCACCGTGTTAGGTCTTCTTCCAACTGCTTTGCTAAACCCCATGTTGGTCTGAAAGGCCCTGTGCTCGACCCAGCTCCACTCTGCAAAGATTTGTTCTTTTGCAAGAGGATGCATTATTATAATAACTTCCTACCATTCCATCTAGTGTTATGGAAGGGGTGGGGAACGAATCCAACAGGTGCATGAAGCCACTTTCAAGGGCAAAACATAGGCCCCTGCAGTTTAATTAGGCTTATTTTTTACTCTGAGTTGCATGCTGTAATCCTTGGTTAGAGTTACACCCAAGAGGTGTATCCCCCAGGCACCAGCCATGCTCAAGCAGCCCCTGGATACTGCAGGCATACACAATGCGCCCCACATTCATACCCCCATGCACCCGCCCTCACTCCCACCACTTTTTTACTCCTGTAGGAATGTAATCCCCTCCCCAAAATGAATCAAAGAGGCCAGCACACCCCAGCCAACAGCAAATATTCCAGTGCACACAGACGCACTCTGATAACACAGGAAGATGCCCCTCACTCCCCGTTCTCCAGGACAGCACTGAGGTGCAAGGGTATGTCTAGTACAGGGAGCAGACAGAAAAGCTGGGACTCAGGAAAGGGTTAAAATGTATGGACTGTGCATAGCCCAGGGCTGCAATAGTGGAGGGGGGAGAGGCAACAGCACCACAGGTCCATGGAGATAGGGAGAGAGGGCAGGTGTGCAATACTAGGGGACAATGGGAGCGGGGTAGAGATAAGTCTATGCAGCCAAACCATACGTGGAGTAGTCTGAACATGGAGGCAAAGCCCTGTCACCCAAGGACCGTCTCTCATGGCACGCATACTTACATCAATGCCTGCCTTCCCTGGAGGCCCATCTGGGCCCGGAGGTCCTGGTTCCCCCTTGGAGCCCTAGAAAATAGGCATTTGGACAAATTCAAAGCCACTTTCTGGAAAGGCTTGGACATGCAATGGGTTGGGAGCAGATTGGAAAACTGACCCCATACTCACCGGGGACCCGGCAGCGCCCGGCGGGCCCTTGTCACCCTAGGGGGAAAAACAAGAGGGTTATGAACAGAAAGCAACATTGGTTTCTGCAGCATCTATCGATCTTAAAGGCCATACAGGCCCAGGCAAGATGCTGAGATGCTGCTGTGCAGAGCCCACACACATCCAGCCTGACTAAGAACCAACCTCCCCACCCCAAGACTAGAGGCAGGTCTGTGCTGCTGGAAAACGCCCATCCAGGCCCATGTCCAGCCTCCGAAAGCTCCTTCTCCCTGTCCGGGTCACAGCACAGGGACCTGGTCAGCTGTGCTGAGTCATTTCTCTGGTGTAAAATTCAGCCGGACTCCAATGCATTCAGGAACAGCAGCAAGCACATGGCAAGGGGAAGGCCAGGGGAGCAGAGGTGTTGGGGGAAGGGGCTGCAAGACTGACCCTCCATCCTGTCTGGGTGCTACATGCATGGAGAAAAAGTCCTGGGCAGGAACCCAGGGGCACCCCCTGCTCATTCCTGGAAAGCAGATTTATCTCCAGGGCTTCCCTGCATCTCCGGGATGCTGCTCTGATATCATTGGATTGTGCATCGCAGGGTTTGGGATGGAGCCACCAATTCTGGAAGGGAAGATGCCCAGGACACGCTCTCCAATGGAAGAAGGAGGAGCCGCTCACTTGGAAACCTCTAGCATAGAGTGATCCCTCCTTGCCCCCGTGCTGTGAAGCCACCCCTGGCATGGCGACTGCCAAACACCCATGCAATGATGGTCCTGCCGCAACACAGAACAGGATGGGGAGAACACTCCAGCCATCAGAAGAAATTCTGTGGGGGGAGAAAGACTCAAGCTGGAAAGTAACCACTGCAACTGGCTCTTACCACCCAGACCTCCCTTGTACCTCGTACCTAGGGGATGGGGTATTAAGCAGCAGGACACTGCTGGTCTGGTTGGATTTAAGGGCTCTGCTCACACCGGATTCAAGCACAGGTTAGGATACATCCTGACTGTCCTTTTGATCCAGCCTGCAGCAAGCAACCTCTGACTGCGGGACCTCCCCCTCTCATTCATCTCTCCCTCAGAAAGAGGCGAGCAGGCTTTGAAGCCTGCAAAAGCCCCTCAGGACACCAGAGTTTCAGTGTTCATAAACCCGTGCAGCCAGAGAGGCTGCGTCACCAGCCACCAGCTGTGCATTGGGGTACGGAGCCCCTCCAAGCAGGCACATGGGCAGCACAGTGCCGGCCCCTTGGAGATGGCACTCACGCCCCAAGCAGCTGGCGTCGCTGTCCAGGCTCAGCTTGAATGCACCACAGGCTTGGAGAGGGATGGCTTGTTAATGCCCACTAACCCTGCCCCTCCGCCCAGCTCCCATGGGGTGGTCTAAAAGGAGAAGGTCACTGCGTCTATAAATAACCCTAGATAATTCTCCAGGGATGGGGCATATGGGGCTGGGCCCAGAGAACAGATCAGGTCTTGATGCCTGAAAGGGTTGGTTAGGTTCCAGGCTCCACCCCACCGAGTCCCAGGCTGGTGAGTCTTAGCACTCAGACGCCACGTGTCCAGCAAAGATCTCCAATCTGCTCAGCCAGAGATCACCCCACTGCAGAAGCATCCTGGTCCCTCCCACACCCAGGCCCCAACCCCTGCTAAACCCTGTCTGCCCCATTGCAGCTTTTGATCCAGATCCCTTGGGGGCAAGAACCATCCTCACCACCCCTTCTTCCTCCCTTAGGATCCAATCTCCGCTTCTCATCTTGGGCCCTGATCCTATAGGACCTTCTCTTGGAAGTTGATGGGAGCAACCTCAGCAGGAGAGGCCCAGGCTGGGGCTCTCTGCTGGGAGCTGGCTTTGCTCTGGACTGATCCTTTTCCAGTGCATTACAGAGAGGTTTGCATAGGTCACTACCACCCCGAGCAGATTAACACAGACTCTAAGGGGCAGAGCCAGGGTGACTGGGACAGCACAAGTGTTGTTTTAATTCCTAACCACAAAATTTCCCCCACAAAAGGCATTTTAGGTCCAGTTTTCAAAGGTATTTCAGAGCCCAAGGATGCAAACAGGGATCTTCAGAACCTCTCTAAAGCCGACTTATTAATGCAACCCTGGCACTTTTGCTTATATATGTATGTATATGTATTATGTATGTATATATGTATCCCAGAAGCAATGGCCTGTACAGTCCCAGCTTCTGGCAGCTTTTCCCCTTGCCAATGATGTTTGGAAATGGTCCGGGAGGCCTAACCCCACAAGTCTCTTGGCTTTGAGGCCATAACAGTGAATGGCCCATTGTTTGTATTGCAGTGTAACCCAAAAGCCTCAGAATCAGAGCCCCGCTGTGCTGGGAGAGGCAACAACACAGAGAGAGAGAGACCACCGCTGCCCTGGAGGAGCTAAGGGAGCCAGCAAGGAGCGGGGTGCAGAGAACTGGGACAATCCCACCTTTTGGGTAAGTGTCCGCTGAGCAGAGTTTGATAGGGTTTGTGTCTTGAGCTCCCAGCCCTAGGCTGGCAGCAGAGACTCACTGATTGCAAGCTCAGTTGTGACCATTAGCATCCTAAGAGTCTGGGACTGACCAAGACCTTGCCTCTGATAGCGGCCAGTAGCAGATGCTTCAGAAGAAGAGCGCGAGAACATAGGGCATGTGGGGAGTGATCCATCCCCGCCATGCAAACCCCGTGTAACGCCAGCCTAAGAGCTTTGCTCGATGATTTCTGCATTGAGAGCAGGACACATACGGACTTACCAGGAGCTTGCATCAGGCCTGACCCTCATCCCTGACCTGGGAATAAATAAGGCTTTGCAGAAGCAGCCCAGTAAAACCACATGTGCTGAAAGGACGTGCTCCAGTACCCTCTGCCGCCCACAGCTGAGAACTGCAACTCTGAGCCTACACACAATGCCCCCCTTTGTATCTGTGCCTGGCTCCCTCCCTCCTCCTCCCCACATTCCCAGCTCAGGCTTCTGGACTGAACTACATACTCACATCGATGCCATCAGATCCTGGCACTCCTGGCGGACCCGGGGGCCCTGGTGGTCCAGGATCTCCTGGCGGACCTCGCTACGGAAACAGAAAGAGAAGCACATGCCCCCCGTCAGAAAGAGGATCACGGTGACGGCTTCCAGACCTGACAACCCTGAGATGAAGTAGGACTCATGCAGACTCTAGCATACCTAGTACCGACAATGTGGGCTCTTAGCATGGGACAGCCAACTGCTGCCATGGGGTGTCTGTCCCCCTGCGGGCCCGTTCCCCAGGGAGCTGGGAACGGTGACCCTTGAGGCGAGATCTGCAGAGCAGACAGCTCTGGACAGGGGATGTTTCAGCTGCTTCCCCCCGTCTCCATTTGCCTTTACAAAGGTCCGGTCCTGAAGTCCTCCAGTCCTAGCAGCAGTTTGGAAGCAGCTGGAATAGTGTGTCCTTCAGGCAGGGAGTTATGAAGAGCCCCAAGGAAATCCACTCTCTCTTCCTGGATTCCTCATTCCCTAACTTTCTAACCAGGGGCTGTGTTTTCCCCTTCTCTGTACAGTAATCCCCAGGGTCTGACTCTGCTCTCAGATGCACCCATGAAAATCAGGAGTATGGAAAGCAGTGGAATTAAAGACCCGTAAGTGAGATCAGAATTATGACCCCCTTCATCCCCATCCCCGAATCTCCAAAAAACATCCCCCACCTTAAGACAAGATTCAAAGCAAGCTCCCTTTTTGCCACTCAGCTCTGCCTGATCCAGGGTCAAAAGTGAGCCCAAGATTCCCAAACCCACTGAGATGGATTTAGATGCCCAACTCCAATCATTTTAATGGGAACCAAGGGTCCGAATCCCTTGGTCAACATTGCAAATCTCATCCTAGCACTCTCCTAGACAGCTCAGTCATGCCAGCCCCTGCTTACAATGGCCTTTCAGCAACATCCCTGGCTATTTAGCTCAGGCCAAGAGATCTTTTCAGATACAGCCTGGTCCACAATCCTGCTTGCCCATGGGGCCAGGAGAAAGAAAGCGATTCTAAGACCCGAGATGGAAGTTCAGGGATCCTTGGAAGTAAAAGCAGATGAACTGGGTGCATGGGAGAGGGTCATTGATGGCTTGGGAATGTATTTTCTACTGCTCGGGGCTCACTGATTTGAAAGCACAGAGGACATTTGGTTCTGCAGATTTGTTAGCAAAAAACCCAAACAAACCCTCCAGCATCGCACCTTATAAATAAAACACCAGCCTCCCAGCAGGGAAGAGGTCAAGTTTTCCTGGAAGCGCCCCATGAATAGGCACCTTTGTCCCACACACATGAGTTCCCAATGCTTCTTTGTTTGGAGAGCTCCCTGCCCCGCTCACTGATGTCGACCCGAGCCAGGTTCTTGCAGTGGGTCCAGGGACCCGCAAACCTCTGGGCATCCCCGAAGTGCCTCCGTGCAAGTGAGCAGGGCTCTGGCCAGGCTGCCCTCTGCTCAGCTCATCCATCTTCTGCTCCGCTTGCGGCTGGGGAAGTTTCTTTTAAAATTCATCTTTCCATCTTTTTAACTGCAGTTGATTTGTTCTGTTGCCCCCATTGGAGGACTGTTGTTCAATTCAGAGGGTTAAAATCCCTGCTGGAATAAAGCGCTTAGACTGGGGCAGGGAGTAGGGGGCATACCCCATCCTACCAGGACGGACTTTGATCCATGACTCTTTAAAACACCTTCAGGACCACATTTTCCTCTGCTGTTGCAATGCTTCTGGCTGCACAAGTTCCTCCAGGGAGGTGAAGAGTCTCCTAAAATCATCCTGCCATGGGCTGTATCCACCTTAGGCCTCTCTTCAAAGGTCCCTGGACCCCCACAGGCTTTTGGTCCCTCTGCAAAGCCCGGCGGTCAAACCCAGGCCTGGCCACAGCCCTTCTCCTGCATGCCTGATGGAGCTTAGCACCCAGATACCATACAGAAGTGCCCCTCTAAGGCACTTCCCCAAGGTGATGAGAGGTGAGACCCTCCTTGCTGGATGAAAACCTGCCAACCCCCTCCCTGGGAGGACTAGGTATTTCAGCTCAAGAGCCCCCTATCAAATGGGGCCAGCGAAGATGGGGGATCCCAGCTAAGTATGGTATTGGGGGGCAGGTGGGTTCTACTGGGTTAGGTGCTGAATCCGAAAGCCGATCCCTGTGGCCAGGGGTTCGAGAGACTTTCAAATAGGGGAGAGACTATGCAGAAAGGGACCCTTTGCCTCTCCCCCCTCCCCGCACCATCCCGACCCAGGTGCACAAGGAGACAAAGGAGCACACTTACAATCTGAGCCAGGCACAGGCAGACGGCGTGGAGGACAAGGCAGAGCGTCAGGCTACCCCGGGCACCGGCCATGGTCAGGACTTCTGGCTGCCTCTGAAGCGATGCGCGGTCCCTGCTCCTTTCTGCGAGCTAAAGCTCCAGGAACAGCCAGGCAGCCTTCAAATGCACCAGCCCCAGCTCCAACAGCTGGGCAGACTCCAGCTGCCGCCCGGAGGAGGGGAGAAGGTGGGGCAGGCTCATGAATATGGAGCGGCTCAGTAGGTGAGGGCAGAGGGATTGGCTGTGAGGCCCCTTCACTCCCTCTGTCCCATAAGACCAGGGCTGGCCAGCTACGGTTCATGGCTCAGGTGAAAGGAAAGTTATTTCAGGCAGCCCAAGCTGCAGGAAGGAGTCTAGCCTGCAACGGAGGAGAGACGCTAGCCCAAAAAACAACCGAGCACAGAGCACGCTCAGGGCTAAGGCTGGATGGTGCAAGATCCCAGTGACG